TTCTGTTTAGGATATGTGGGATAAAGAGGAGATGAGACCGTTTGCAGCAGAGTGAGGAGGAAAGTGGAGTCATCCATACAGTATACCTACCCAGGTTAAAAGGGAAAGGCGGTATTTGACCTATGCAATTTGGGTGATATAAGGAGGTGAGAGTATATATGTATGTCTCTGGTGGAGGAGCACCTATAGGAATATATGTGGATATAAGCAATAAAGAGCCCCTGTTTGGGAACGAATCATAAAGGCATGGATTAAAATCACACATTATGAACTTTTAAGTTGTACTCATTGTATTCACCAATGTTGAATAATCACATGGTCTGGATGTTTTTATATATATATATATATATATATATATATATATATATATATATATATATATATATATATATATATATATATATATATACATACAGTTGTGGCCAAAATTATTCAACCCCCAATGCTGTAAAGGGGTTTAGGGACTATAGTGTACATTTGGAATTGTATTCAGAATCAAATCCTACAAGGACGTTGTAACTACCCAAATGCAACTAAAATGACATCAATTGTTTATGTAATACAGTAGTAAATGGTTCTTATGTGGTTTCTTCATTGCCACAATTATTCAACCCCTTAAAGACTACCACTCTGAAGAACAGAGGTTCATACAGGTGCTTTCCATCAGGTATTGAAAACACCTGTGGATGTCACCGAGCAGCAATCAAGCATAATAAGCACCAATTAGGCAGCTTTAAAATGACTGTGATACTCAGCTCCTTCTAGACATTTACTGGTGTGGTTACAAACATGGTGAAGGCAAGAGAATGGTCCAGGAAGACAAGAGAAGAGGTGATTTCTCTTCACAGGAAGGGCAATGGCTATAAGAAGATTGCAAAGATGTTTAACATACCAAGAGACACCTTAGGAAGCATCATTCGCAAATTCAAGGCAAAGGGCACTGTTGAAACGCTACCTGGTCGTGGCAGAAAGAAGATGCTGACTTCGACTGCTGTGCGCTACCTGAAGCGTAGAGTGGAGAGAAGTCCCCGTGTGACTGCTGAGGAACTGAGAAAAGATTTGTCAGATGTGGGTACAGAAGTTTCAGCCCAGACAATAAGACGCACACTGCGTAATGAAGGCCTCCGTGCCAGAACTCCCAGGCGTACCCCCTTGCTGTCTCCAAAGAATAAGAAGAGTCGACTGCAGTATGCCAAAAGCCATGTGGACAAACCACAAAAGTTGTGGGATAGTGTTCTGTGGACTGATGAAACAAAATTAGAACTGTTTGGGCCCATGGATCAACGCTATGTTTGGAGGAGGAAGAACAAGGCCTATGATGAAAAGAACACCTTGCCTACTGTGAAGCATGGTGGAGGGTCAATCATGCTTTGGGGCTGTTTTGCTTCTGCAGGTACAGGGAAGCTTCAGCGTGTGCAAGGTACCATGAATTCTCTTCAGTACCAGGAGATATTGGATGGAAACGTGATGCAGTCCGTCACACACCTGAGGCTTGGGAGACGTTGGACCTTTCAACAGGACAATGATCCCAAGCATACCTCCAAGTCCACTAGAGCATGGTTGCAGAGGAAAGGCTGGAACATTTTGGAGTGGCCATCGCAGTCACCAGACTTAAATCCGATTGAGAACCTCTGGTGGGACTTAAAGAAAGCAGTTGCAGTGCGCAAGCCTAAGAATGTGACTGAACTGGAGGCCTTTGCCCATGAAGAATGGGCGAAGATACCCGTAGATCGCTGCAAGACACTTGTGTCAAGCTATGCTTCACGTTTAAAAGCTGTTATAACTGTAAAAGGATGCTGTACTAAGTACTAAGATTGAATGTCACTTGGGGGTTGAATAAAACTGATAATGCTGTGAGCACAGAAAAGACATTTGTGGTTATTTCATTATAACTGTTATGTTATATTTGTCTGACCTACAAGTGCCTCTTTAATGTAAATGTAAGCAAGATGACTGAATGATCAAAAGCAATGTCAAACTGGCCAAAACACTCAATTTCAGTGGGGGTTGAATAATTTTGGCCACAACTGTATATATATATTTATAGAGATATAGAAATATATGAGCGGAACTATTATATAATAATATGGTTTAATAATACACCCACAATTATTACCTGTACATTTTTGTATTATCAGTCATCTCTTGTGTTTTCATTATGTAGGGTGCCATATTCTAGGTGAAGTATTTTCTAAGTTTCTTCTTGTGCATGAGTTTGGAGATTCTGCTTACCAGAGTGCATTGGGCAGCCCAAGTTCTACATGTCCCTGACGGGACTGCTGGAGTGTAAAATGCTTCAGAACAATTTCAGGCGGTTTGTGAAATCCTGTTCAATGAACACATGAATTTAAAGGTCACCTGTGTCATTTGTACTCAGTAGGAAACACGCAAAATATCAGCTTATGTCTTTTGCTCAGAAAGCCTCTTGTAATAGCAGCGGTTGTTTTGTTTTCAGCCTTGACCACGGAGTACATATCATGCTGTTTATTTTCACTTTGAAAGGCAGAACTTCGCTCCACGCTACTGATGATTAAACTTTACTTTCTTGTATTTCTGTATTTGTGTTCGCTGTGTCATGAACACGAAAGTCTGCATGTGTTTTATTTCTGTTTTTTGTGCCTGATGCTATTTATGAGTATTATTATTAAATGATACTCTGTAAAGCAAAGTGAGGGACAGACTCACCAAGGCGTCCCTTTCCAAGAATGAAGTCCCTAACTGCTAGGGCTTCATTAAACACTACTGTATACAATGAGGTTTTACAATCTCTGCACAATATAATTTGAATTTACCAAAACTAAGTAGTATAAAGACAAATCAAAACAATCCTTTCATATCCTACATAGTTCATTGTAGATGTAAAGTAGATTGTACAATCGCATTGTTAGGCCTCATGCACACAGATGCTTAGCAGCTCCTATTTAGTGGCACTTTGTGACATCTGGGAAGCTTGGGTGAATACATCTGCATTGACATATACAAGTATACACACTCATGTATTTTTAGCGCCGCTCCCCAAATGCAAAAGTAGCGCATTTGGGAAGAAGGGCCATAAGCGCATGAATGGGTAAATGCCAATGCAGAAGCCATCAGCCTTTACCCTAGCACAGTCACGTACTGCCATTCATGTGGCATGTGCCGCACCCCGGGCACCAGAAAGCATCAGTTATTTTATGTCTTAGCACATAGGAGCTGCGTAGAGTTCATGTGCGTTAGGCCTTAGAGTGGTCAGCTTTAGAGAGATTTCCCCTCACCGGAAGTGGAACTTAACCTGAAAAGGGGAGTTCTATTCATCCTCATACTTTCCAATCCCTACCACTTTTGGAGGGGAGGGAGGCGAGCACAACGGAAGTTCACGGCCTGCAACCTCCTACGTCACATATCCCAAGAAGCTTTGGAAGCATTGAGAAAGAGCAGAGTGTCTTGTGCATGTGCAGCGGGGAGCTGGCTGTGAAACTCCAGAAAGTCACAGCTGGGTTCCCACAAGGAACATGGAGGTGCCTTGGGCCCAAAGATTGGCAAAGAACCAGCCCAGGTGATGACAGTGCTGGTTCCCTGGATCCCGGGCTGGCAAGTGTCCCCATATTAAAAATCAGTAGCTGCAATGTTTGTAGCTGCTGACTTTAATTTTTTTTAGAATTGATCGGAGATCCTCCTCAAGCTGGCCATACATCAGTAGACAGTCATTTACACATTTGTACATTTATTCAGAAACGTAATCTGTCAGAGCACATGATAGCACCATGAACAAGCAAATAAACACACAATGACTTCAGATCTGTCACCTTCATAATTTTCAGCAATTGGCCTTTTACTATTGTTGTCATGATGGAAAAGTAAAAAGATATAGTGAGAGTGACTACAATGGTAAACGACAATCATCTGTCGTGTCACCAACGGGGCTTACATCAAACATTTGTAGTGCAGAGGTAAAACTGGGGCAGTAATGTGTCTTTTTCGTGTTAAAGTGGTTGTAAAGGCTGAAGGTTTTTTACCTTCATGCTTTCCATGCTTGAAGGTAAAAAACCTTCTATGTGCTGCTCCCTCTACAGCCTCCCCAATACTCCCCAATACTCACCTGAGCCCCCTTCAATCCAGCGATGAACATGAGAGCCTCGGCTGTCCTGGGACTCCCTCTCCCTATTGCCTGAAACAGCCATTGACTCCTACTCCTGTCAATCACAGCCAGTGAGTGTGTTATTGACGCATAGAGCTGGGCTTGGGGGCCAGCATGCGCCAGTGCCCCCATAGCAAGCGGCTTACTATTGGGGGCACTGGTCAAGGGGGAGGAGCCAGGAGTGCCTGCAGGGGACCCAAGAAGAAGGTCGGGGCTGCTCTGTGCAAAACCACTGCACAGGGATGGTAAGTATGACATGTTTGTTTTTGTTTTTTTGAAAGCCGTACCTTTAATGTCACAAATAAATATCTTTACTTTTACACTATCCTTTTTTGAATCACACTGTACTTAACTAGAATATTGATATGAAAATGTAAGTCACGTTGGTTGGACTGTCACATTGTATACCTTCTTATATTTTATATTTGATGCTAATGAACCTTTTGCGGGCACTTATCCAAGCAAAAAAAAAGAACACCCCAAACCTGTGTTCTGAGAGAAACTCACTGGCATGGTTCACACGTATGCATGCAAATTTATTCTAGTGAATGAAAGTTCTATGCAATAGAATGAATTTACATGCATGCACTTCTAACTGCCATACGCCTGTAAGTGCCAATAAACACATGTAATTACACAATAAAAGGAGTATATTTTATGCACGATTTGTCTGCCAGCTCTTGGGAAAATAATCTAACAAGGATGGGAGTATTTTAGTACATCCCCGGGTATGTGGTCTGACTGTCAGAGTAACAGCAGGTTCACCAGACAATGAGGGAAAAATCTGAAACAACAGCACAGACTGAAATCAAAATAGTTTTTATTAATATAGTAAGAGAAGGCTAGAAGCTGTCACATTTTTATTGCTGTCTGCGTCCCGCTTGCAGATTTTCCCTCGTTTCCTGTCTGGGGAAGCCATTGTCACCGCTACAGTAAGTGAAAGGACAGCAGTAAAAAAAACAGATAGGGGTTTTAATCCTACCAAACTCAATCCAAAACTTAGAAAAAAAAAGTTTTGGCTTGACTTACTCTTCAATAATATCTACGCTCAGCCTTTGAAAGTATGGACATCCTATACTACAGGATATATAGCTAAGAAATGTTTGCTTTTAGGGTCGGAAAGATAAAGATCAGATTCATGTCGAATGCTAATTTTACTTGCAGAAAGAAAGCTGGCATGACTTTAATTAAACGCGTTTCTTTCTTTTCATATCAATAATCCCGAGTTGTTGTAGACATATAGATGAAAAAGACAATCCTTGTACAGCAACAGACACTCAACCGCCTTTGTTGCTCTACAAACATAAATCAGTCTTTCCAGAAGCAAAGCTTCAGATTCCTGGCACCTCTCTATGCTCACTGTTGAATTGGCTTTAATTTAGGTTTAAAATCAAGTATACAGAAAGCACTGAGGCATGTAATGCATTCTCAAGTGCATTTCAATGTTTATTCATAATTTAAGGTATGCCTAGAATATTATGTTCAAAAGGAAACAACAAATGCTAGTGAACTTAAATCCTCGTTGGTTCTTCATAAAGTGCTTAGGGATGCTGCAAGGATGAGTAATGCTCTGATTTATTAGCTATATAATTCTGAGTGAAAGCTGCAATCTCAGGGCGAGCTATTTGCAGCATACCGCGTTCCTCACACTTTAATTTTCAGATTGATAGAGAGATGAAGTTTCATGGCGTTGTAATTTAGATGATTAGCAGGAAGATAAAACGAGGTGGCTCTTAAAGTGTACCTGTCGCTCAATAGAGGTGGCCATTTTTGGAAATGAACAAAGAGCTGGTTACTTTTTTTGGAACGAGTAACCTCACTGTAGTGTAAGGCAGTGGTCTCCAAACCGTGGCCCAGGGGCCAAATATGGCCCTTTGCTTGCCTTTATCTGGCCCTTGGGGCACGATTTCTCCCACTAACACAATGATGGGTCAAAATTCTTCCCAGTAATACCAATGATGGGTCTCCTTCCACTGACGACACCTCCCACTGACACCAACAATGGAACACTATTACTCCCACTAATACTAATGATGGGGCACTATTCCTCCGACTGACACCAACGATGGGGCACTCTTCCATCCATTGACACCAATAATTCTCCTAATACTAAAGATGGGACAATGTTTGCTCCCTTTTGAAAACATAGTGTACCTGTCGCTCAATAGAGGTGGACATTTTTGGAAATGAACAAAGAGCTGGTTAGTTTTTTTGGAACGAGTAACCTCACTGTGGTGTAAGGCAGTGGTCTCCAAACTGTGGCCCAGGGGCCGATTATGGCCCTTTGCTAGCCTTTATCTGGCCCTTGGGGCACGATTTCTCCCACTGACACCAATGATGGGTCAAAATTCTTCCCAGTAATACCAATTGGGGCTCCTTCCACTGTAACTGACAAACAATGGAACACTATTACTCCCACTAATACTAATGATGGGGCACTATTCCTCCGACTGACACCAACGATGGGCACTTTCCACATGACACCAATAATTCCAACAAATGGAACAATGGGCACAATTACCTCCACTAAAATACCAATGAATTGCAACAATGGGGCACTATTCCCACCGACTGACACACAATGGGGCACACCAACAATGGAACACTATTACTCCCACTAATACTAATGATGGGGCACTATTCCTCCGACTGACACCAACGATGGGGCACTCTTCCATTCATTGACACCAATAATTCCCCTAATACTAAAGATGGGACAATGTTTGCTCCCTTTTGAAAGGGTCCGTTCCCCCAAAGTCAGAAGGACAGTAAACTGGCCGTTTGTTTAGACAGTTTGGAGATCCTTGGTGTAAGGTATTAGTTACTAGTCAATTATAGCAGAACTGAGCCCCACAAACCAAAAATGCTACTTGATTAATTTTTAATATTTAGAGCACATTTACTGATCCATACATGTCTTTATGCTTTATTTTGCTGAGAAATCAAGTAGAAAAAACATCCCCCTGGGCCAGGGGTGGACTGACAACTCATGGGGCCCCCGGGCAATAGGGGATCATGGGGCCCCTGTGTCCCTGCCTAAACTCAAAAATGCCTACGAAAAAGGTACTGGGGGCATCTCATACCCCTACTGACCCCGGGCCCTCAAGCAGTGCCCGCGTTTCCAAATGGTCAGTCCACCCCTGCCCCTGGCATTTCTGGCCATAGCCATCTTGAGTAGCAAGTATATGAATAAATCTCCCAGTAATGCTATTACTAGGCTGCAGCTAGAGGGAGCTCTAATGATTTGTAGAGTGACTTCAGGAGACTAATACTGACAAGCTCACATAAAAGTGGAACTTCACCCAAAAGGGGAAGTTCTGCTTTTTTTGCATCCTCCTCCCCCCTTTCATAACTGGCACTTTTTTTGGGGGATGGGGGTGCTGGTACCTGGTTTTGGCAGTTACCCACTTTTGCTCAGATCGCTGGCACTCCCCCCCTTCTTTTCCCCCCCAGCTTTGTGGGACACATCACAGGTCCCAGAAGACTACAGCAGTGGGAACTAGCTGTGAAACCGCAAGGCTGGTTTTCCTTACTTAAGATGATGGCGCCTGGACCTGAAGCTGATTGGAGAATCAGCTCAAGTGATGCTGGATCCAGAAGTCAGCAGATATAGTATTTGTAGCTGCTGACTTTTAATTTTTCTGGGGGAAGCTGGAGAATTGCTTTAACGGCTTCTCGACCGCCCTATAGCAAATATACTGCTACAGGGTGGCACGGTTGCGCAAAATCACATATATATATACGTGATTTTGCATTTCTGAGTAAGGGGCGCGCATGAGGCGTGCGTGCGCTCTACCCACACCACCATTCGTGGCCACGGCTGTCAATCACTGGGTCCCAGATGGTGATTACTTGGCGGTGCCCCTAGACATAATTGAACAGCTAACCCTTGCAGTGTGGACATGACCACACTGTAATGTAGGATATTTTAGATTCGCTGCAGTTCAGATTTAAGTTTCTATCTGCAACAGGCATGTATGACAGGACCTATCCTAGACGTCTACATTATTAATGTCATCTGCCGGTTCAGACCACCTTCAAACTTTGCGAATAGTTTTTGAACTGGGCTGGTAAAGTTCTTTGTTGTAGCTGAGAAGCACTCTTACGGTTTAGAACTTCTGTGGAACTGCTTCAGTAAGCAAAATGTTAAACAGGGTTGTTTCTGCACAGATCACTGGCTGACACACTTAAATGAACGCTTTATGGAATAATGCAGGGATGTGTGACAAAATGACATAGTTTGCTCCTCGGAAAGCTTCAGAAACATTTTTAAGCCTTCTTCTGGAGCCTGACTAGGAGTTGTTCAAATGTAGCAGGGTGAGGCAGGGCTGTGCTATGAAATATATTATTAGATGGTTGAAAGACAAAGTGTTTACTCCTAAAAATAATGATCCGTGAGAAGATAAGGCTTCCGACACGGGCTCATGTAGGTGGGCATTGTTTTTTGTTGACCAGCATTTGAAGTGCACATCAAAGGCAAGTCTGCAGATTCTCATTAACTTCAGTGATGCAGTCACAGCGGTTCATGTTGGGATGTGCTCGTGTTGCTGGTAAAGCAGGTCAAGTGTAGCCTTTTGTTGTGTTTTGCATTTGATTGCACACACCTGAGAGGTGCTGTGTTGAGTGCAAAGAGCAGTGTTCAACAAAGCACCCATCTACATGGACCCAAAGAGCACCATATCATGTGACAAAATGACCCCCCTGACCTCAAGGGTAAATGAACTTTTAGCCCTTACATTACTTCACAGTACAAGCAGCTAGAGTGGTTAGTGAGGCCTTGTTTTCAAGCTATGACTGCTTATTAACCTCCCTATGCGGTATTCCCGAGTGTAGCTCGGGGTAGAGTTTCAGTACCAAAAGCGGTAACCCCGAGCTACACTCAGGCTTACCATGCAGCGTTGCAAAGGGAGTCCCTGCAGCGCTTACCTTGTCCTTCACTCCCGCGATGCGTCCCCTGCAGCGTCCCCGGCCATCTCCTCCGGTCGATGCCGGCATCCGGCTTCCGGTCCCTGTGACGTCGGGACGTACGGGCGCCGGAACCGGCGGCAAATTTGAAATTTTTTAAAAAAGTCATTTTTTAAAAAATGATTATTACATAGTAAAACATTGCTGTTTCAAAACATTTCACATACATTTTGTCCCTAGTGCTTTGTCCTGTCCCCTGCCTGCATTTTGACTGTTCTTTCTGCCTGGAAACTTAGAAAAGTCCATGGCGTCCAAAAAGCGCCCCTTTATGTCAAAAGCGGTTTTAGGCCCAGCTAGAGAACAGCGATAGTAAATCAGAACCACTTGCAGAATTGAGTGATAATGATTCGTGGGGAAATTCGTCATCAGACACTGAAAACGATTTTGCGACTTTGCTCAGTGATGTGCGAACTTGGCGCTATATTTCAAATTTCAGTGTTTTTGGTTTGATTATATTATTTAAATAAATTTATTATTATTATATTGTTATTTTTTATGATTATTTATTAAATTATAATTTATGATTTCGTGTTTCAAGTTTTATCATATCCGGTATGTTTACTAGACTCTTGTGCGGACAGATTTCAGTGAGTTATTCCTAAATTACAGGCCTACAATATAAAAAAAATACATATTTCCATGCAAAAAAATGGTACCGCTTTCAGCACCAAAAATCTGAAATAATCATACCGCTAGGGAGGTTAAAGCAGTATTAAACCCAAAAGCAAACATATATTATACAACATATTACAGCTTACCAATTCTTATGTGATGGCTGCATTCGTTTTCTGTTTTAGGCTTTGTTTCTTCTATTTTCATGTGGCGATCCTGCCAGTAAGGCCCCTTTCACACTGGCGATCCGATGAAGTCTTTCTGTCAGTTTTTCAAGCAGACCAGATTGGAAGATCCGAATTTCTGTGGACAGGCGGGTGTAAACAACTTTAAACACCCGCCTACCTCCTGAATCCCCTCAAAAAAAAAACCCTAAAAAAAAAACCAGAAGTTAATAAACATTCTATGCCAAACTTCCTATCTATAAAAAGCAAAAAAGAATTGATCCTGGACTTTCTACTCCCTCTGGAGTGGCTGTTGTCTCTGAACAGACCAGCAAACAGTTCTTACTAGGTGCACACAGTCCCCTTAAATGAACCTTCTTCAGACTCCAGATGAAAATCTCATCCACCTGGCTGTCATGAAGGATATCCCAGGGCAAGGGATTCCGAGACACATAAGTGTAACATCCCAGGGGGAACTAGTTGGGTATAGCACCTGACTGCCCTCCCTCTTGTAGCCCCAGGGGGTGTAGAGGTACTCACACTATCCTGTTCCTGTAGCTTTAAAAGGTGAAGCTGCTTTCAGGCCTTATGCTGAGATGGCTTTTTCCCCTGCTGCAAGGCTGTACTTCCCCAGCAGACTGTGGAGCAGTGGAGGTCCCTCTTTTCAGCTCCAAGCCTGTAGGTAGACCCCCCCTTCTCCGGGGTCCCCTCCCAGGCTCCACTTTCTCACTCCATCTTCCACCCGACTCCCCTCTTGGCCAGGCTCTCTCATATTTATGGGCTGATCTCCAAAACTGCCAGGCCTCCTTCCTGGGATTGGTCAGACTCCCATAAATATGCAGATCAGCCCCTCCTCACCTCTGCCCACTGACTTCTAGAAACTTCTCAGAATTTCTAAAGAAGGGGGAGGTACGGGAAGACTGACCTGTACAGCCCTCCAGCCCTAACCTAAAGTAACCTGGCTGACTCACACCCAGGCTTCTAACAATAAGCCTCTAAGGACAAGCCTCTAACGATACAAAAACAAATTAACGATACAAAAAAAACTAACTGCACCAGAGGGCGCTACATTTACACAATAATGTCTGAGTTGATTGTAGCCTTACACAATAATGTCCAAAGTCTGAGAACAGGTGCACTTTAAGAGCCATTCATGCAAGTGTTTTTGTAGCAGTCACAGGACCAATTTTAGTGTTGTTGTCTCTTGGAACTAATGAATAGCAGTCTATAAAAGCTATGTCTGTCTGCAGTTCCAGCGATTTGTAGCAGCGTTGCTGGGCGATTTTACTTTTTGCAGCAATGAAAGCTTGCTACAAAATCAGCAACTTCAGGAGCTGCTCATGTTATCCAGCACACGTTCTGATGACCACGGCGCACTCGAGATTTATTGCTGCACAGATAAGCACTGTATTCAGCTATAGCAGCAAATCTGTCGCTAGCTACCAAATGCCCCGAAAATGATCAGAGATCCGTAACTGCAAGAAATCTCTTCTGTGGACTTGTTTGACGTGACAGGGCCCTAAAGGTTCTAGTAAAGCAACACTGCCTTTTCACCCAGAAAATAAAAAAGGATTCCTGACTGCTTATGCTCTTTTTAGATACATACCTCATTTTTAAATGCACCTCATTTATTGTTATTTGATTATGTTATTCGGCATGCCTCTCATTTTGGGGTTTTTACGGACAGGACTTACCATAAAGAAACTGTCCTCACACATCTCACTGCTTCCATCCTAATGCTGCCGTAAGTTGCACTCTGAATGTATGAAATTTACAGTTAGATTAGAGTGCTGGTAAAGTAAAGCAAATGGGTAGGACCAGAAGAACAACATATATTTAAAACTGAACTCCAAGCTAATGACCAAATAGGCAGCTGAAAAACATATTTCTCCCACTGTCACCAATGATGGGGCACTATTTCTCCCACTGTCACCAGTGATGGGGCACTATTTCTCCCACTGTCATTATTCCACTGACACCAATGATGGGGCACTATTCCTCCCACTGACACCATGATGGGGCACTATTCCTCCCACTGACACCAGTGATGGGGCACTATTCCTCCCACTGACACCAGAGATGGGGCACTATTTCTCCCACTGACACCAGAGATGGGGCACTATCTTTCCCACTGACACCAGTGATGGGGCACTATTCCTCCCACTGACACCAGAGATGGGGCACTATTTCTCCCACTGACACCAGTGATGAGGCACTGTTTCTCCCACTGTCACCAGTGATGTGGCACTATTTCTCCCACTGACACTAGTGATGGGGCACTATTGATCAAACGACACTGTTAGTCCTTGTTTACATGGTTGGCAAGAGGGCAGGAAATACAGGTGGTTGAGGTGCAGCTTTCCCGCTCTCCGACCTTCCAACTAAAACATAACATGCAAATGA